AGGCGTGTTATCCAGGAATGGGAAGTGTGAGTTCTTCACCAAAGATCACAAGCCATTCCACCCCATGGAGAGAGAGCGCATCCAGAACGCGGGCGGCAGTGTTATGATCCAGAGAGTGAACGGCTCGCTGGCGGTTTCCCGGGCGCTAGGTGATTTTGAGTACAAGTGTGTGGACGGGCTAGGTCCGTGCGAGCAGCTGGTCTCCCCAGAGCCGGAGATCACGGTACAGGAGAGGACCGATAACGATGAGTTTGTCGTGCTGGCGTGCGACGGGATCTGGGACGTGATGAGCAATGACGAGGTGTGCGACTTCGTGCGCTCGCGGATGCAGCTGACAGACAACCTGGAGAGCATCGCCAACCAAGTCGTGGACACCTGCCTCTACAAGGTGAGTACAGGTACAGATGTACCTGTAGTGTAGTACTATCTACATCTACATCTATGGGTTACTGAACAATGCCCTCACGGGGCCTCACGTTCAGTTGCATGGCATATGTGGCCAGGTGGGGTGCTGGTGCTCATAAAAAAAAAAAAATGAACATAAAGAATAAGCAAAAACAAATTTGTGCAGTGAACTATATACATGGCCGCGAAGTCGTACCTGATTTATGGCTGGGAGCTGGGGAGGCCCATGTGCTGGGCCAGCCCCAACTTAAAGCTGTCAACTGTTGGTAGTGTGACTATGTGCGAAGGTAGAATGTTCCACTCACCGACCGTTCTTGGTATAACATATCAGCTTCTGTATTACTATTATACACTTCTGTATCTGTATTATAGCCAATATACTAGTAACCGCTCTTCAGTCAGAAGGGTCAGAAGGCAGACCCTTAGTGCCAGAGTTGTTAGTGACTGGAATGCTCTGCCACAGTCCGTAGTCGACTCAAAAACAGTAAACCGAGTTTAAGACACGGTTAGACAGACATTGGGAGAGTACGAAGTACAACACATGAGTAAAGTTCGAGACCGGGATTACTACAGGCAAGCCTTCTCATCCCAAAGATGGTATCAAGGTATCAATTCAGTGTAACACACTGGCTTCGCAGACATGCAGTGCAGTGGCAACTGCCTATAATAAACTAAACGACCTGTTACACCCAACATAGCTAACAAGTTCACTGTACAGGTTTGGTCCATACTTCTGCCAAAGTCTCATGAACCTGACTTCGTATTTGAACCTGAACAAGTCAAACCAATACTACACAACTGTAACTTACACTGTACATAAAGCTGATATAAAACACGATGATATCAGGATCAAATCATAAATGATATTTTCTTCAATATTCCATAATTTTTAGCATAAAAGTTGTATGTCAAGCTTTATAACAAAGGGGGACGACAACTGTTAGTTTCCCATGTATTGGATGCTAGTAATACTAATAGTAATAGTAACTAATATATATAATAGATCTTGAGGGGTGGGATAAAACAAAGATGGGGGTTATGGATGCATATGGAGCTGACTGTATACGGAAATCAAAGTAGGATGGCAACAGAGAAGTAAGCTGTTGCTGTGTGAGAAATATGCTGATGACAGTGAAACTTGTGATAAGAAACCATGGAACCATATTACACTGTACATGTACCTTGCAAAAAAAATGATGTATAGGTTTGGAATGAGGGGAATCCCCTCTTATTTAGTCTTAACAGTAACACTGCCTGAAACAGGATTTGTTGTGGAGTTACATACATACATACATACATACATACATACATACATACATACATACATAATCATACTATAATGAGTTGAAGCATTAACGTAGTTCAGCTTCCAGCGTTTTCTGTCATACATCATTTCCGTAACTTCTTTTCCATTCAGACCAGTCTATAAGTTACTCAATAATGTCCTTTAGTGTAGAGTATGGACTTAGTTGTTAGTCAGCAAGATCTGCAGCTGAAGAACTGTACACATGACAGAGACCAGTGGATTCTCTTTAGTGTTCTGTATGATTCATGTTCAAAATAAAAATTAATTAAGATTATACACAAATTTCATCTTGGACAAGTATGACTTGCTGCTGGTCAATTTATTATGGTATTTCTTATTTGTTATAATATAACAATTGTTGGGGGCATTATTTATATGCACTTATCAATTTTCATGTTCCGTTTGGAAAGTTTGAGAACAAAGGAAGCTGCAGCCTGCTGGTGTTGTGGGGAAACTGGCAGGTGTTTATAACCAGTTTTGCATACAGTACAGGGCTGGAAATACTGGGTGCATGTGCACCTTAGTGCACCCAAAATTGGAGCTCTGCACCCAGTTCTTTTCTGTGCGTGCATTGGTGCACCCAAATAATTTTGTAGGTATTTTTGTACATATTAAATGAATGATACTATACAGGATACTATTGGCATCTAAGTAAGTGTCAGAAAAATAATACAATCTTTGTTGTAGTACTTTCATGTTAGCTCCCATTTCAGAATCTGATTCAAGCTCATACTAGGAGCAGTAAGATCTGTGATTAGTTTGTTTTATAGGGTGCACCAAAAAATGTTTTGTGCACCTACTACTAGTACTAGTTTAGGTAGGGTGCAACAGTGCACCTATTCCCAAAAATGAATTTCGAGCCCTGGTAGAACAGTAGTAATTAACACCAGGGGAACCATGAGTCATGGCTGATGGGCTGGCATTGTTATCCACTGCTGTAGCAACATGAAAGGACAAGGACAAATTACATAATTTCTGCAGCACTGATCTCTAAGTCTAACACATCACAGTGAAATCAAGAAAGATTTGTGCAAAAACTTCCTGGTGTAGATTTGCTGAGTTATTACAAAACAGACATGTTTTTTTTTTTTTTAATCTAAGCCTGGATACAATGGTGTTTGGTCTCTGTCATTAATTAATGTGCATGACTGACAATGCCAATGGTGCATGATAACAGGTAGACAGTAAAGGACGGTTTGTTTTGTTCCTATGTTATGTTGCTATGATTACATCATTGCCATTGCTCCATATTTTATATAAACCATTATATATTGTTGTCATGAAAAGATATCACAAATGGCATGTAATGTATCGTTTGTTGATAATATGTGTAGAATATTTTTGTAGTTGGATAGGCATATTTTATTCATTTAATTATACTCAGACACACACATGCATTTGGAAGTAACTTGATGTGTGACAAATATGTATTTATAACTATAACTGGGTGCACTATAGTTGCCATCCACTCTAGCCCAGCCATTCCCTGAGATGTTAGTTCAGAGTGGAGCTTACCCTGACATTGTAGAGCAGTGACATCATGTGGTCCTATCAGCTACAACAACTACAGCTGCCTCTCCATTTATAGCTAACCCGCAGTGATGCTGCCAGGAGAGTTGGCTTATTTTCAAGGCAGGGCCACTTCAGCTACTTTGAACTTGTCCTAAGTAAAAACTGTGTAAATAGACAAAAGACACACCAAGACCCACCTAATAGTAGCATTAAGGCCCGATTTAGACTAGAAACGGTATACCGTTCGAAACGGTACGAAACGTTTCGCCACAGAAAACGGTTCGTCTTTAGACACAGAGGCGGAAGCGTTTCGGGCCGCCCGTGGCGCAGGATGTTTCTGACCCACAGTGACCCAATGATGACCTCCCCAAACCGCTTCTACGGTTTGCCTCATTGGCCTTATGATACTTGTGTTTCAGGGCCTTGAACTTCGCCCGAACCTGCTTTGTGGTGCGTAAATACCCCTCAGCCGCCAGCCCGTCCACAAGCATCTGTATGCCCTCTTTATTACGCGAGGTCTCCAAGCGGGATTATATAGTTTGATCGGCCCACAAGCTGATCAAGCAGCGGATCTCTTCTTGGGTCCAGACCCTCCCCTGGCCTTCTGCCATCCCCCCAGACATAAAGGATGACGAAAATTCGAGAAATACATGATATAAAATGGCGAAAATGGACACAATCGAATATGGCGCGAATCTACCAGAAAATGGACGTGATTAGCATGTGATTAGCATATGACACGTGACCTGGTTTACCGTTTCAAGAAACCCTTTGACTTTAGACCTAGCAAAAAGCGTTTCGGGCCCCCCGCTGAAGGGTTCTGAAACGGTCGAAAACCACGATGGAGGTGGTTTTCGGAAACGGTCCGCGAAAACCCATAACAAACCGTTTTTTCCTCTTTAGACCGGGAACGGTTAACCGTTCCGAAACGTTTCCCTGGCCAAAACCCCTTAAGCGTTTCTAGTCTAAATCGGGCCTTAGTTTATCCTGGAACAGAGATATATTTCAGAGGCAATGTGTGGCAGGTTATGAGGGGTGTGGTACTAGAAAGTGCATGAGAAAATTATGTCTGTGAATAATATTCGTGGGAATATGTACAGCTTATTTAGTTATTATGATCTCCATGGATTTTTTTTTGTGCTGACAAAACATATTTGCCCAGAATGTGCCCCAGATTGCATATGTATTCATGTACTTGGTGTTCTACCAACGTATCTAACTTCTAAGAAAAGAGTCATCGGGTTTAGTCTTTATCCTTGAAAGTCTACGACCATTCAAATTTCAGTGTACCTTTGAATAGACAGCTGCAATGGGTAAGGTTGGGAAGTTAAGTTAAGTTTAAGAGGGGATGTTTAGTTATTACCTGGTTGTGGAACCCTTGTCATGCTCTGATTATGTCCCAACAAGTCTCAGTAACAGTTTGCTTCCGGTCTGGCTAACCACAGACCACCAGAGTGTTTAGATTAGCTGGGACAAACATGTATTCTATGCTCTATGTTTGGCCAAACCAGTTCTATTTCCAGGTGTGCAGGTTGTACAAGGTCATTTTGGATGGTATACAAATCTGTGAGGGGTTTAGAAGGAAATTACGTTGTATGTCCCAAATATGTGGCAATGTCATCTATTGATACATCATATTATGATTGTTCCCATTTTTACATAGTAAAACAATTTAATTTAAGGCAACATTCATTTACATGTATTTTGTTGTTTTGTAGACTTCCACAGTAGACTGATCATTTGGTGTTTTTTTACCTCCATCCATGGTTTCATTCCATCTGGTATTCCTGTCTTTTTACCACCAGTAAGACAGTTCCCTTTTACATGAATGATCATTGAAAAAGAAAGATTTTGAACTTCTATTGTAGTAACCATAAATGTTTTTTTTTCTCAAAGACATATTTAGTTCTTAGATGGTGAACGTTAAGGAGAATGTTCTATAAATACCATCACTATATGGAAGATTCCTGGGATTCCATTGATACTAAGGCTTTTTGGGTGGTCATTTCCAAAATTTCCCTGTGACAGAGGTACACTAGAGGCATAGCACTTCCTACTTCTGGCAATGTCAATTTGAATAAGATTTTTTTAGATCTCAGTAGATCTAACTGTAGTGAAATCAAGACACATTCTCAATGGTACAGATACATGTGCTAATGTGTAGCACCCATATATAAGTACATAACTATGTACCCAAGTAATGTGTATGCTCTGCATTGTCTTGTTCTTTGCGTCGAATGTTTGTTGATAATGGGCAAAAGGAATTGTCTTGTGCTTTGATCATTTCTTTGTGGACAGATGTTGGATCTATGAGTGTTGCTCTGAGGTAATATACCTTTATTTGGAGCAGCACCTGGATTCATATGAAGAAGAGATACGGTGTATCTGAATATCCAGAGTAGGACGTCACTGTGAGATAGTGAGCGTGCTATCAGGGATGCGGCGATACAGGGCCTGGATATGAAAGTGTCTACAGAGGTTGGTGGCCTTATAAGGCTGGGACTCGGCACCATTGGCAGTGCAGAGTGATGCAGGCACCCAGCATGCTGGACATACCAGGCAGGCACCCGGCAGGAGGGCTGCTCAGAGGGATGCTAGTGCTGT